TGTTGGTGGCGTTCTCCTTAGTTCTAAGTTGCTTCTCTCCTTGATTAGTTTCCACCCATTGCTTCTTGTTCTACCCTCAGGTGCCTTGGAGAATAGCTTGACTCCCTCTTCTTTATGGCAGCCCCTGAGATATTGGAACACTGCTATCATGTCTCCCCTAGTCCTAAACAACCTCAGTTCCTGCAACCGTTCTTCATATGTTTTAGTCTCCAGTCCCCTAATCATCTTTGTTGCTCTTCTCTGCACCCTTTCCATATGTTCCATACTTTCCACACTTTCATATGTTGTTTTTTTATATGTACTTCTTGCAAACAAGTTATGTCTAATTTTAATTTTTCTAATCTATGGGGAAAAAAATTCCTTTTTATCACTGAATTCAGTCATTTATATTGATTGACATTAATTTAAGTTGTTCTTCCATGATTATTTATAGATAGGTTTTGTCGCTCTAGTCGTTCTTATCTCTCTTGGTGCTTTTGATGTTGCCCCTTCTCTTAAGTCTATTTCCTCCTGGTCTTTTTCATCTTCTTTTTCTTTTTGCATGTCCTTCTCGTCCATCCCTTCTTCTCATCGTCTTGCCTCTTTTTTATCTCTAATTCTCATTTCCTCTTGTGGTCCAAAATATTGTTCATAAAATTGTTCTGCTTCCTCTTTGGAGTCCAATCTGTGTCTTTGCTCCATCCAAGTGACCAATATTCCCTCCGGAATCAGCCATCTGAAATTTACTTTGTGTTTGATTAGTTGTCTTGTCAAAACCTGGTTAATCCCATCAATATTTCCCCCCAAAAATTCTTTGTCCATCTCTAAGGCTCCTGTCAGTAATTCTGCCATTTTTTCTGCTACATTTTCTCCTTTTTCTTTCTCTATATTCTGAAATTGTAGATAAAAGTCGGCCCTGTCAGTTTCCAGTAAAATTATTGTTCTTTCTTTATTTTTATCAGTTAGTGTCAGATGATCATCAGCTTCATTCACTTTTTTCTCTGTGCATTAAACTTTTTTTTCTACTTTCTGTATACGTTGTTCATTATTTGCCATCATTTGTTGGACTTTCTAATTTATCTTCCATTTTCTCTAATTTATCATCCACTTTCTCTATTTTTTGTTTGACTTCTTTAAAAATATCATGTAGCTCTTGATTCATTTCCTTCAGTCCTGACTGCATTGTGTTCACTTTCTCTTGTTGACTTAGGACGGCCAAGGTTTTCTGTCCCCCAGAGGGACTCGAAGTTGCTGATGAGTTTGTTGATGCTGCTGCTGACGCTGTTTTATTCCCTTGGTTTTGGGGGGGGGGGGAAATGCTTGATGTGGCCAAAGCTGGTAGGTCTGAGAAGGCCGGGAAAAGGTGCTTCCTCTCCAGGCGGTTTGCATCTGGTGTCCCTGCAGCTAGGCACTCGCGCTGGGGCTACAGGCTCTGCTTTGCCTCCGCAGCTACCCAGGACTGCTGATCATCCCGCAGAGCATCCAGGACAACACCGTTCAGCGGATCTCGCGCTGCTACCGGCAGAACCGCTTCCCAGTGGTCTGTTGGCGGAACTCGCGCACCAAGACGGTGCTGCTGCGTTCGGGCGGCTTGCATGGGAAGGGCGTGGTGGGTCTCTTCAAGTCCCAGAACACTCCTGCCACAGGTACCTCCAGGGCAGGGTCCCCTTGTGGTGCCCTCCTCCTGCCCTCCCCTACCCTGAGGTCCTCTCCTCCTGCCTCTCTTTTCAGGCCCCTCCCAGGCAGACTCAACCAGTCTGGAGCAAGAGAAGTACCTGCAAGCCATCATCCACTCCATGCCCCATTATGCGGATGCCGGTGGGCGCAACACGCTCAGTGGTGGCTTCAGCTCTGCCCACATGAGCCACTCAGGTGAGTGGGTGGGTGGGCTTTTGTTGAAGGCGTCGAAGAGAGGCCAGTTGCTCTTCTTCAACCTTAGTGGCCACTTCAAGGAGCTGCTCTGGGTGTGGCAGCTGACGTGGCCCTGAGAGGCCGGGGGAAGGAAGCCGCGGCCGCGTGAGTCGCATGTAGCTGGGGCCTCTCCATCTCATTCGTTAGTAGGTGCCCCTCCCCATCCGCCATTTCATTGCTCCACACAATACACCCTTATTTCTTGTTTGTCTGACTGGCGTTGGCACCACCTGGAATGGCTGGCCTGTGGCAACTGGGACCTTGCCCTCACCCACCACACTGCCTGCCCAGGAAAGGGACTCAGCAGTGACAGGGGGAGGCTTAGCCAAGTGGGGTGGGTTTTCTGCCCTTTTGCGGGACTTAGGGCGGGAGGTGGAGGAGGGTGTGTTTCCCGGGGCATTCTGCCGGGGGGGGGGGGGAGGGAAAGGCTGCCCTCCCGAGCCCTGGTGGAAATGTCCACCTTCTCTTGGTGCTACAGATTCATCTGAGAAGCGGCAGCCCAAGTTGGGGTCCCTTATGAAGCAGGTGATGGGCGGGAGAGACGAAGGGTCCGGCACGGGGAGCCGTGGAGGTGAGATGTTGGCAGCAGCCTCTGCCGCCATCCCTGGCTCGCTCGTCCGCTGGCTGGTGAAGGAGTGGCTTTGGGCGATGGAGACATGTCCTGTTTCCTTGCAAAAGCAGGATGATGAGGCGGGGGGATCCCAGATTGGCCTACAGCTCTCCCAGGCATTTGTCATTCGTTTTGTCTGCTCCTCCATCAAGTCATTTGTTCCCCCCCCCTTGACCCCCCCCAGAGAGTGAGCAGTCCCCGTTCCCCCCGCCCCGTCTCTCCCCTTGCTGAGATGCCTCTCCATCGTGTCCCCTCTCAGCCCTAGGTCACAGAACTAGGGTAATTACCTTCTCCAGCCCCAAGAGTGCCTCACCAAGGAAACCCGACTCCCCTCGAGGTACTGTATGGCCACTGAGCTCGCTTATGTGGCCCCCACATGTGGCTAACTCATCCCCAGTCCTAGCCGGGCAGGCCCTCCTCCGTCCACCTCTGTGTCTGCACTAACTGTTCCACACCCTCCCTGCATGCTCTGTGCGTCTCCCCGTGTTTTGGGGTCCACTCTTAGGAAAGTCCCCCTGCCGCGGATCCTGTCCAAAGGGGCTGCATTTCCTTCTGGTGATGGGCACCATTTTCTTCCCAGGCAAGTGGGGCAGCATTCGAGCCGGGGGCCGCTTAAGCAGCTACGCCCTCAACATGGAGATTGGGTCCCGACTGGCTGGGAAAGAATGTGGAGCACAGCCCAACGGGTCCCCCTCGGAAGCCGGTTTCCTCCGCCAGCTGTACATAATCGGAGACAAGTCCCAGTTGCGGGTACAGTTTGGCTGGGCTGGGGGCGGGGAGATTGTCACCCCACCCCACCCCCCAAACGAGGCTGGGGAGCCAGGAGAGGGTGGTAAGAGGGTGGAAATAAATTCTCTCTGTGCTTCCCAGGGAATAAAGCCGGACCCTTTGCAGCACTGGGAAATGGTGCCCATCGAGGTGTTTGACACGCGACAGGTCAAGAGCAGCTTCAAGAAACTGATGAAGGCCTGCGTCCCCGGTAGCCCCTCCCCAGAGGCTGGCCCAACCTACCTGCGCTCCCTGGAGGAGTCGGAGTGGCTGGTGCAGGTTAGTGGCAGAGAGCCTGGCTCCAGCCTCCTCCTCCTCCTCCTCCTCCTCCTCCTCCTCGCCGCTTTGCCTGGTGGCTTTGGCGGCTGCCCTCTGGCCTTGACTGCTGGGCCGTTGGCTGCCCTGGCCTGTCTTTCTGGCCAGAAAGGCAGCCTGCACTAAAAACACACATGCACACACGCGCACACACACACAGACACACACACCCCGCCTTGGTGTTGTAAAGGTCGTGCAATCTCAGTCTCCCCCAGGAGAGCAAGGTAGCCCTCGTCATTGAAGGCTGGGGGTGCGGTTGGGTGGACTGGACTAGAGAGGTTTCGGCCCAGGTTCTGGGCAGGCAGGCAGACCCCAGGATGTGCTTGATCCCTGTTTTTAGGATATTATTAAAACTTTCAGTGTTATCAGTGCATAGATAACATAGATGTTTGTGCAGGTAAGATTATCAATCTTGCTTTCAAGCAAAACCAAGCCTTTAATAGTGAGTGCCATGCCATGTGCACTAATCAAACAGGTGGCAGGAAAGTAGGGGGGCAGTCAGGCACAATGCAGGTTATGGAGACAGAGAACACAGGGTCAATCAGAATGGAGTCAGCTGTCTGTACACCAAAGGACAGAGGATGAGGAATAAACAGGGTGAATTAGAAATTCAATTAAATGAGGGCAAATATGATATTGTTGCCATCACGGAAACTTGGTGGAATGAAAACCACAAATGGAACATGCAACTAGAGGGGTTTAAATTATTTAAAAGAAATAGACCAAATAAAAGAATAGGTGGAGTCGCACTATATATAAGAAATAACTACATCTCTACCGAAATAGAGCACAACAATGATGAAAACTATCTTGAATGCATTTGGGTCAATATTAAGGGGGGTGTGTGACATTGCCATAGGTCTGTACCCATGATGGCGAACCTATGGACAGGTGGCACGCGGAGCCATTTCTTAGGGCATGCGAGGCATTGCCCTGTCGCCTCCAGTGCGCATGCGCACTGGCCAGCTTACTTTGGCCTTCATTTTTCGCCCTCTGGAGGCTTCAAGCCTCCAGAGGGCAAAAAACAACCCAACGCACCAACCGGACGTTTGGGAACGGACTTCCAGTTTGCAACAACCAGCGGGATTGGGGGGAGTTTGCTCAGAAACGAAGCCAACAGGGTCGGAGGGAGCCGTAGGCCGAGCTCTGGGACGGGTGAGCAAGTGTGGGAAGGCGAAGGAGAGATAGAAGAGAGAGAGCTGGGCAAGAGCCACAGGAGGGGTGAGGAGATCCCGGCTTGCACGCAGGAGCCAGGGTGCCTTTAGGCTTGTGGCTTCCTCAGCGCTGTTGCGAACCGTGCAGGGACGGCAGTCTCGACGCCCAGCACCTTCCACCCACAGCACCTTGTGCCCCGCCGCCTTTGGAGGCAACCAGAGGCAACTGCTTTTCTTGGTCGGGTGGCTTGTGACCCCTCCCTCTTCCGGGCCAAGCGCAGCTGACCTGTGCGGGTGCCATTTCTCGCCATCATTTGCGGAGCTAAAAAGATGCATGAAACACTCCATCCCACCCCGGCTCTCCTGTCCCTTTAATTTGTGCCTCTTTGTCTCCCCCTGAAATGACATCATCCTCAGTAGAAAGCCATTGGGAAAGTTGTGTGTGTGTGTGTGTGTGTGTGTGTGTGTGTGTGTGTGTGTGTGTG